TTTTACAGCACAGCATCGGCGCGGGTCGTCCCTCGCGTCTCTGGTGATGTTCTTAAGGTGCTTCGTGATGGCGGTGGCTGTCTGCAGCTCTGCTGACCTTCTTCTTTATCTTCCTCCCAGTGATCCAGTTTTTTGATGCCGTCAAAGCGGATCGCACTCGGAGCTGGCTGTACGCCGCTTGCTCCCTCTCCTATCTGGGCGCCATGGTTTCCAGCAACTCGGCTCTGCAGTTCGTCAGCTACCCGACTCAGGTGGAGCAGGGAGGGCTCTGCGGGGGGGAACGGTTACCCCCCCGTGCTTGGGGTACCCCAAAAACGGGCACTGCGCAGCGGAAGCGAAGGCTGTGGAAGGACCCACTGGAGAAATGACGTGGAGGGAAACTGATTTTGAGATTTGTTGTCCTGCAGCTGCGTTGGTGGGGCTGTATCGCTGTGTTTCAGTCAGCACCGGGTGTGCAGAGAGGGGTTAAAAGAGCTCGAGACTGTTCTGGAAAGAGAAGAACAATCCCTAGAAATTCCAGGAATTTGCTAATTGGGAGTTGGTGCTGGTGTTGAGATGGTTTCTGAGACCTTCGCTGTTAATTAGGAGTTGCCCTGTGACAGGGTTTTTGTCTTTGTAGCAGCTGGCATGATTTATTGGAGGGGGTGTGAGGGTGGTCTGGTCCCCGGAGCTCGCCATTGCGTTGCCGTGCTCCCTCTCCTTGCGGGCGAGTGACGGGATGCGGATGGTTAATGTCGCCTCTTTCTTTTATAGGTCCTAGGCAAATCCTGTAAGCCCATTCCAGGTACGCAAAACTCATGTTTCTTGTATGTCTGTGTGGATTTCTGTGCCCTCAAGGAAGACCTCAGCTGTCAGAACAACGCCTCTCCCCTTCCGTCCGCTCTGCCACGGAAGCACAAGCTGTGTTTTATCTGTGTGTTGTTCTGTTGGGCCAAGTTAAAATCCCCTGAGGCGGGTTTGGGAGCGGTTTGTGATGTTGCTTCTTTACAGTCATGCTTTTAGGAGTGACTTTGCTGCGGAAGAAGTATCCCCCGGCCAAGTATCTCTGCGTCCTCTTGATAGTGGCAGGCGTGGCTCTGTTTCTGTACAAACCCAAAAAGGGGGCTGGGAGCGATGACCACGTCTTTGGCTATGGAGAACTCCTCCTGGTGAGTACTGCCAAGGCACAAATAACCTGGCAGGGGTGAGGAGGAACAAGCAGTTACAACACAGATAAGGCCATGTCCTTTGTACCTCAGGTGTACCCTAAAGCTGGCGCGGAAACGCTTCCGCAGGAGGGCACGGGGGTTTGAGGGGCGCACTCTTAATCCACGGTGCGAGATCAGGGTGTGAGTACAGGCGCATTGCTCTCAGCGTATGTTTTGAGGCCACGTAACTGCTGTCGAATAGGCAATTGATCAGGATGTAAAAAAAGGGGGCGAAGGCTCCAGATTTTCCTTGTAGAGAAGAAATAATGAAGGAAGGTTTCCCTTGCTTTCTCTTATCTCTGTCTTTCCTTTTCTTAGCTGCTGTCGCTGACCTTGGATGGGCTGACCGGTGTGTCTCAGGACCACATGAGAGCTCACTACCAAACGGGCTCCAATCACATGATGCTGAACGTTAATCTGTGGTCCACCCTGTTCCTGGGGGCTGGTAAGGAGCACCCTGCAAAACCCACAGCCACCGTGCCCGGAGACTGCCCTGTGGGACGAGCCGTTGTGTCACGGTCCAAAAATGGGCCTAGAGCACTTTTTGCAAATAATTTGCTGTTTTGTCTGGGTTGGGGTTTTTGTTGCCGGGGTTCGGTGTAGCTCTTCTCGGGCCCACTAGAGGACAGTGCTTCCCGCGGAGCGTGGCTGCCAAGGCTTGTTCACTTCTGAGCAGTCCCCTTGCAGGCTGACGCCCTCCAGTCAATGATTGCTTCTTTCATTAATTAACTAGGAAGGTGATCGCTTTTTCTCCTGTTCTCTTTGTTTTCCACTGTGTGGAATTTAGTCTTTGCTGTTAGTAGCTCCGGTTGGGTTATCAGTGTAAACCGAAATTGCACTATGTTGGCAGTGGCTGCTCAGGCTGCTTCTGGGCTCGTAACTCCTGCTTTTCCTCTCGATCGTTCTTCCAGGGATACTGTTCACCGGAGAGCTCTGGGAGTTCTTGAGTTTTACGGAACGCTACCCCAGCATCATTTACAATATCCTCCTGTTTGGCCTGACAAGCGCTCTGGGTCAGGTAAATACACTTCCCTTGTTCTGCAGTCTTCACTGGGATGTTTGCCTAGTGGGGAGATGGCAAAGTAAGGCTGCCTCGCTTCCCATTGCTTTGGCTGTTGCTTGTTCTGTACAGGCTACCTTCAGAATAAAACTGGTTTAAGTTTGTATGCAAATAATCAGGATTTGAAATAAGATTCTTCCAGCTCTATCTTGATGGCTTTTCATCTGAAAATATGATCTGTGGTGTTGTACTTTTTCCCGTCAGAGTGACAAAAGGCATCTATTTTTATCTGTTTTCAGAGTTTTATTTTCATGACTGTGGTATACTTCGGACCTCTGACTTGTTCCATCATCACCACAACCCGCAAATTCTTCACTATTTTAGCCTCTGTCATCCTATTTGCCAATCCCATCAGTACGATGCAGTGGGTGGGGACAGTCCTGGTGTTCCTGGGTAAGTCTGGGGAGCAAACGCCTGAGGTCTCCCCCTGGTAACTTCAGTAGAGATGATGTACAGTGAGGGCAGAGCTGGTCAAAAAAAACGTAACTGTATTAGAATGCTCTCAAGGGAGGAGTGTGTTAGTAGTCCCACCGTGCAGGAAAAGAGGAGCGGGACTTCTAGCAGATCTGTTAGGTCTTTCCCCCCCCCGCCCCCACACCAGGGAGGTCGCCACCTCTGAGCGATCATGAGTAAATCGGTGCTGTTAAGCTGGCTTTTCACAAAGTTCCTTGTGTTGTTGAAGAATGTGAAGCAATTTTCTATGCACATGGATTATTTTATCTCTTTGCAGGCCTTGGACTCGATGCCAAATTTGGGAAGGGAGTAAAGAAGACATCACATTGAGGAAATGGTTGATCTCTGCAGTTGGAATGAACTTTTAATTTATTGTCTTGTACCTCAAAATCTGTTACGAAACTGGACTCAGGATAGGTAATCAGAAGGGGAGTGTTTGGATTTTTTGTTTGGTTTAGTTTTTTAATTCTAAATTGTCTTAAAATGTAATACTTCAGTTTTAACTGTGATTAAGCTTTTTTTTTTGTCTGTAATCAAAGCTGCATTACTAGATCCTAGCAGCAGGATGAAGTTCTTGCCTTAACAGGAAAAAAAAAAAACAAACCTCCATATCTTTATTAAAGAAAAAGTGACAATGGCCACTTTTCCAGAACTTTAATTTCGGTATCGTTGGCTGATCTTGGGGAGAAATAGCACAGCTCTCTCCAAGGAGAGGGCTAGACTTAGAATTACATTAGTTCTTTGATGTGGCCTGGAAAGATCCTGGATTAAAGGCCTGTGCTGAAGACAACCCCCTCTTCTGATTGTGACTTCCATAACTGGGTTGGTGGAGCAGCCAGTTGGACATTCTTCTATTAAGGTAATATGTGTAAACATTGAGATGAACATTATATCCTTCATCTGAGCCCTTCTAAACCAGAAGCAGCTCTTGGCGCATATGTAAAAGTTTACAGGAAACCTGCTTAACCAGTGGGGCCCAAATTAATTCTTTTCATCCCCCCTGCTGATGAAGGAACAGGACCCTCTGCTGCTAAAACCATGCCAAGGTTGTGTGACAACAGCTTCTAAATGTTGAAAGGGCCCCTGTTAATTAACCACCATCACGGTGAGCTTTCGCACACCCGCTCCTGAGCACAGGCTAGCTCCCCAGTGTTGTACGGGGAGGAGTTATTACCATAATGATGCCTTCAGAGTTGGAGAGCAAAATTCTCCAAAGAGCAAACTTTACACATGAAAGCATGTTTCTACCAGCTGTCGCTTGGTCTCCATCTGTTCCGTGGCTTTGGCCTTTTGCCCCTCCAGATGGGATCTTGATCTCTTTCCTGAGCTGCTGTTGTAAGTCTCCCTTTCTATCCCCTGCCTCCCCCCCCCCCCACCCCCCGGGTTTCTGCCCTCAGAT